GTTGTCCTTTCCCCAAAAACCCAAATCACAGCAAAACTTGGGATAAGCAAAGTTCAGCTTAACAAAGCAGGAAGTTACTATGACTTGTGCAGACACAGAAAAGCTGACCACAGCCTTTATTATCACGTAAAGTGCTGTATCAGTCACGCCTTTCCTTCATGACTCTACAGCCTCACCAAGTAAAGGCAGAGGTGACTCCCGAACAGCTAGTCCTTTAAAGTGTCTGTCTTTTATGAAGCTATGCACAAAGTTATCATATTCATTCATAATGAGCAGTTCTGGCAGTCACTCATACAGATTTCCTACTGTAGACAAAAGCACAGTCAGAGCTGCCACAAATTCATATCTCCAATTTAGCCACACACCAGAACAAGCAGGGCTTGCTCTGCAGGCAGCAGACGTGAGCTGTGACTGGATCCTGTGGTTAACACAGCTCTGTCACTGGCATCCACAGAACCAAGGACTTTGGCTGAAGAGAGCTGGATTTATAGCTGCTCTATATTTGCACTCCCCAATAATGAAGAAAAAAACCCCAAACCCATGTATGACACGTAATTTACACAGGATGAGATTCAGCTCCATTGGCTGTCTTCCTTATACATGCAATTTACTTCCCAATAATATTGACACAGGTAGAGTTCTTCCAAGACCTGAACTTTATCTATTACTGTTTTTCCAGGGTTCTGCTCATTAACTGAGATCAGACAGTCTACCACCTTGCTCACAGTCAGAGCACAGCAAACAGGGAATGCTTTGGTTTTTCTTAAACTGCCTGAACCGTGCAGTTGGAGGAAAAACACAAGAACTCTTTCACCATTTTATCCCCACATACATCCTGCTTTTGGACAGGGCACAAATTATTGCCCTGATCCTCCCTTCTAGCAGAAAACACACTCCATCCTAGTGGCCTCAGACAACATTTGTTCCTTTGCTGCTGCAAACAAAGATTTCCATAATTCTCCAACCTATTTCAACTGCCTGCTCCATAGACAGAATCAAAACCAGAAGTTATCACTGGCAAAGAAAAACTACCTGCTCTAATCATGAACCTTGACAGCTGAACCATTTCAAATCATATTAGAGGGGGGCAATTGTGTTTTGCCTTCACTGTGGGCTGCCTTTTATGAATTTGTTCACTCTTCCTCACCATACAACGAAAGTTTCATTCAAGTCAGTGCTTCAATGTTAAAAAGGCATGAGAAATTGCACAGAACTTTTTATGAAGACACTGGAGTCTCAGTTTCACTGTGCTTACTGCATGGTCAACCAAATCTCATAATGTCATGTCTCTCCTGGAATGACAGCACTGACTGACAAAGCCAGTAACAGGTTTGGAAGCAGCTGCCTTGAGCTCTTACATTTAGACCAGTGACACTGCTAGACATTTATGTATGCTTTGTGATGCTTTCCACTACCAGGAAAAAATGCTTATCTCTCTTCATATTAACAAGTGGAATCAAGAAGGGCCACCAATAATAAAGCAGGCCAAATACTCTAAAAATAAAGAATCAATTCAAGAACTTTAGAGTGTCATTTAATCTTGATTATTTTCGCTAAAACAATCTGTGAAAGTTCAACTCACTTTCAGTTTCAGGCTTTGATATTGATCAAAGTATTCAGTGAGCTCTAATCTGAATTACCTGAACTCTTTGCATCACACAGCTGCTGTTTTTCATTGACAGCAGCATACATAACCAAAAGTAAGGTGTTGTAGGGGAAGAACAGAACCATTCACTGATTTTTTTTTCAGAAGTGAACTAAGATTTCATTCCTACTTCATATCTTTGTGGTTTTTTAGTTTTTCTATTTCTTAGGATAACCCCATAAATCTAATTCTTAATGCTGCAATTTTGAAAACATTTTATCTGTCCAGTCTCATGATAAATAAGACTCACAGAATTGATTCTTTTAAGGCACAAAATTACATACTTATACAGACAGTAACAAGATGCACCTACAGGCAATTAGAGAATTACCCATTCCTGACATAGGTCTGATGTTCACACTGGGTAAAATTTCTCCAGAATTATTCTTGCAAGACAGAGTCAGCTTGAATGTGCAGACCCTATTCTGAAAAGCACTTAAGTGCTACTGAATTCCCTGAAACAAATTTTCTGAGATACTTTTCAGCAAAAAAAAAAGAACTTCAGCAAATTCTCAAGAGTCTCTTTGAACTGTTTCAGAAGTGTGCATGACTCTAATGATAAGTTTCACTTATGCACGTACAAGAAAACATTTTTAATCAAGAATACTATCTTCTTAAGATCTTACAATAGTATTTCGTTCTTCTGATAATTCCTTTTTCAGTACTACATTAAAAAGTAAGTTAAAAAATGGGGTTGTTGTGGGTCTGACTGGAATGGAATTAACGTTCTTCACAGCAGCCCACATGGTGCTGTGTTTTGGCTCTGTGGCTACAACAGTGCTGACAACACAGCAGTGTTTTGGCTACTGCTGAGCTGTGCTTGCACAGTGTCAAGGCCACCTCTGTTTCCCACTACACCCCCACAGCCAGGCTGAGGGTGGGCAAGAGGCTGGCATGGGACACAGGTGGGACAGCTGACTCTGAGTGACCAGAGGGATACTTCATGTGATGTATCCTCAAGTTCATAAATAAAATCTGGAAAAAAGGAAGAAAAAGATATTTTTGTTTTCAAGGCTGTTGTTTGGAGACTGGCTGGGCATCAGTCTGCCATCACCTGATGTGCAGTCTCCCTTGCTCTGCTTCTTTTTCACCCCCCTGAGCCCAGCTATTCTTCACCTATTAAACTGTTTTTTAACTCAAGAGCTGCCTTTTGTTCTCACCATTTTCTCCTCCATCCCCCTGTGAAGAGTTGCTGCAGGGAGTGAGTTAGAAGCTGTGTGGGTGCTTGGCTGCTGGCCAGGGTAAACCCACGACTGCAAGTCAAATTAAAAACCCATCCCAGATTGGTGTACTCTCTTCTCAGATTGTGATCTACATTTTGCCTCAGTATTCAGTGTCTACAAAAACTCTCTTTCTCTAGATACTTGTAGGGCACTTTACCTCCAAATATCTGAGATGAGTATAATCCTCATCCCAATTTTACAATCTGAGGAAGCATTTGTTATTCTCATTCTGCTGAGGGGTAAAGAAGTGGAGATGACTACAGGAAAAGATTTCTAGAGTTGATTAAAAATTCTGGCCTCATTTGCAGAAAGAACATTTACACATAGCCATCTTTTAGAAGCAACCTGAAGCCTTGTCTGAGCTGAAAAACAATCCCTTTGCAAGTTTAAGAACTTTACTGACCTCCCTACTACTTCCCCTCCAAGTACAGGTTTCACAAAGACGGATCTTTACTAACAAGCCAGCAAGTTTCCTTATTCTGAGGGTCACAAGGCAAGTTTCTGGTGTGGAAGACCAAGTGCAGCTGAAAAATCAGCATCTTTCACAGAAATCACTGCTCATGAGAAATCCCTGTGCTTTGTAACACTGCTGACAAGGGTGGAGATGCTTCCAAGATATCTCGCTCTCTAGGCAGCCCATCTGTTTCTGACAGCTCAACTTCTGGTCAGCAACTGACCCGATGAGTCACTCTGCTTGTACTATACAGAGCTCAGAGCCAGACAAGCAATATTTCATCATGTACTTGGCCACACTTGTGATCAGCAGATGCGTAAGAACCACTCTGGGCACGTATCTTTTTCTTCTTTCCTTTGAGGAAGTCACACAGCTCACCACTACCGAGTTTAGCATGCTGAATTATTAACTACCAGACTGATTCTATGCAGCCACTCCCTGTGAGCTTCCCACTACCAAAAGCTCTGAAATTTTGCCATGTGGCAATTCTGTGTAAAAAGTGTGAAACAAAAAGGAAATCTTAAAGAAACAGCCTAACTGCCTTCACCACAGAAACGGTGCATGAAGTGAATAATGTGCAAATGAAATGAGTTCTCCTTCAATCTATTTATTAAAATGCCTGAGCATTTCAGAAACTTCAATACATAATCCTATTTATCATTCTGACACCCTTGCTTAAGTGCAGGAGTACTGCTACCTCATTTTACAGATTTAAAATTGAGAATTAGGTGATTCAGTGATGATTTCTCAGGAAGTCATTCATAAGGGACACAATCCAGGTGTCCTAAGCTGCAAGGAAACTGGAGAACCTTACAGATATTTGGAAAGTATCACCTCCATTAGAATTACACAGCAGGATGAGGTCATTAGCCCACTTGTTAGATTCAGGCTTGGAACAGACTCAGCTTATGGTTTTTAACATGCTGGACACAGAGAAACTGCCTCCTTTGGGCAAAACAGCAAAAAGAATTACTTGGTATGTTCAAATATTTTCTTCAGAACAAGTGACAAAAACCATGGGGTTTAGACCACCTCTAAAATTAGATAATTACAGAGACTCCATTTCTCAGTTTTGTAGTCTATATGTGTATGCCATTTTTTTTTTTAATTACTAGAAAGCTACTCTTTCCCACTACCCTCTGAACATCACTTTGGACTATACTTAGTGTGATATGACTTCAGAACACCAGTTCAGCAAAACTTTCAGCTGCAAACCATGCTACATCTTCACAGTGGTTCAAAAAGTTCCAGAAGATGAGGAGATGCTGAGGAGAAGCAGCAGGACCACACAGCTGGTCAACTTATGGACATAGAGAAAGAAGACAAAGGAGAGAAATTTCTACGGAATGGTGAATGATAGACTCTGGAGAGAAAACTGCCCCATCCCTGGGAGTGTTCAGGGCCAGGCTGGATGGGGCTCTCAGCAACCTGGGCCTAGTGTAAGGTGGCCCTGGCCACAGCAGAAGGCTTGGAACAAGACGATCTTCAAGGTCCCTTCCAACCCAAGCCACTCTGTGATTTCCACATGATTCAGCTTCCAAGTTGTTCAAACAGACTGCACTGCTCTGGTGAAAGCAGCCCCCAAAGTTCCCAGCTTCTTGTTCCTGCACTGACAGACCTGTCAGTAAAGAATCTTCCTATCTGAGTGATTAGCAAAGAGAAATAAAAAGTATCTTACCACTGCAAATGACTCCAGTTTCCGTTCCTATTTTTCTATCTTCTCCAATAGACTGTATCTCCTGCAGAAATAGTTGGAAGCTAAAAAAAAAAACAACAAAAAACCAAATACTTAAGTTTTTTCTTGATTTGCTTTACTGTCTTCTCACAGGAGACTTTTGTGAAAAAAACATCCTTCATTCCTTTACTGCTGTGGTCAACACGTGGGGGTGCCCTTACCTGTTTTACAGGGCTTATCTTTTCTAAGGTCCTCTCTTCACTGCCATGAAAGCTTAGGCCATCACCTAAGCCTTGCTGCTAGTACCATTCCTGACCACACATGAAATTCTCCCCTGAAACAAACCCATTTTTAAAGCACCTATTTTAAGCTCAAACTAGCCAGCACATGGGCTGTGCAGAAAGACAAATTTAAGCAATGAAAACTACTTTATCATTAATGCAAGAGAGCCATAGGTGCAAGTTACATGCAGCAGTTACTAATCAAACCCCTCCGAGCAGCACTAGTTTCACTGTGGTCATTCTCCAGAAACAACATTATCATCTCAAGAATACTAACTCAGATGAAACAAAGGGAAATCCAAAGAGTGACACCAGCATTTTGTTCACAATACCAGGCCTTTGCTGATTTGCATATAAATTTCAGAGGAATTGTCCCCAAAGTTAAAGACACACAACCACATGAAAAATTGAGTGTCTGCTTACATCCATACACAGATGAATGGAAACTGATTTCCCAATTCCATTAATGAAGGGAAGTAGTTAAGTTTTGTATTCTCTTGTGGAGTTGTGAGGACAAGACAGTCATGGTCTATAGTTTACCATGAATGCCAGATAGAAATTATTCCTCGTTGGAAGCTATTAAGTGAGTTGCACACTGGCCCTTGTTTGCTTTGGAATAAGATCTGTTTAGCAGTCCCTCAGCTAATCCTAAAAGAAATTGCAACGTTTCTGAACATCCTGACTGCTGAAATCAGCCTCTACTAAGCGCCACTATGACTGGATTGTCTTTACAGACAAATTTTTCCTTCTGTACTGCAAAATACTCACTTTATGTACAGACTAGAAGTGTGTGACTGCTGTCATATTTAATTCATTTTATCCTTAGCGAAACTAATTTTAGGCTGCAAAAGTCTTGTCAGCATCACAGGTTTTAGTTTAAAGCAAAGCAGAAAGCTTTTAATTGCTTCTGCATCCAAAACAGCCAGATGTTCCCTGAAGCACTTCACCTGGCAAAGGCTCCCACAACAAAGACCCTCACAGTTATGTCCCAAAGTCCATTACAATCTAAACACACATTTCTGCATGGCTTGCTGAGTCACAGTTATGTTCAAAATCAAAGGAATGAATAGAGCAATTTAAAATGTGATGCTTCAATGAAGAAATACAACTACTCACACATGTCAGTGTTAAAGAGCATTTCTGGGTGTTGGAATCACACAACAGGCACAGATCCATCAGATGAATAGAGGAGCTGGAAACCCAGTGAGGGAAGCATACCAAATTCCTTGTCTTTGGGCAGAATACCCCAACCAAGCACTGGGGAAGAGGCCAATGTGATGGTCCTACCAGGAGTTTTTTCTCTAGGACAAGCAGGGGCAGGATTTGGCTGTTTCCCTCAAAGGGATACAAGGAAGGGCTGAGAACTCATCCCTTTTGTACAGTGAGCACTTGAACCAAAACAGAGAAGACAGAGCACTTGTAACAGCTACTGCATTTCTTTCACCAACATACAGACATTTAACTCCTTCCAGTACTGCCTGTAGTCTGCAGAAAGTATTTTTAGGATTCAAACACAGCTAATCAGATCATGGACATTATTGCACTGTGGCACCCCAGTGATGATTCTTTTTTCTTGCATCACACCATCTGCTAAACCCCAGTTTTGATTTTTTTCAACCCAGGGCAGAGGAGAATCTTCTCCACTAGAAAACTAAAACCTGAAAAAGTCAAATGAGAAGAGCTTTATAACTTAAAAAATAATTTTTCCTCCTGCTCAATTAGTTCTTTCAAAAATTTCCGTGCTTTGGAATTTCACAAGATTTGAAGAAGAAAGTGACAGATGTCAGAATCCCATTTATTGATCAAGAAATAAGGTCACTGGTAAGAAATTATTCAAGCTAGAATTATAATTATTGCCCCTTGAGAGCTATTATTACAAACTATTTTAAAAGACAAAGGAACAAAAGCAAAAAAATTGAAGTCCAAAGTTCTTCTTTTGTATCACCATAAAGTAACAGAGCAGATAGCCAACTATACACTAAATGTAAAATTATAAACCCTCCCCATTTTACTGCATGCAGTAAAGATTTGTTCTTTCCAAGCAGTACCACATCTATCAAATTTGACCAAATAAGACAGATTTCCTTGAAAAAAATTAATTAATTCTACAGGACATCTTTCCACAGTTTGATCACCTTCCTAAATCACCATTTTGTCTTTACTCAATGGTCCATGACATGTTATCAAACAGTAAGCAGGAAAAAATGACTCAAGGGCAGAGAAAGGAAATCAAGAGTAAAGGCACAACAGTTAAAAGGAAACTTATTTCACTTAAGTATCATCACAGAAAAAAAACCTGTTGCTTAACATGCAAACGTTCAAGGTAATTTCCCATTATAATGCAAGGTCAATTGGTGAAGTGATTTGTATTCTCAAACAACAAAAAGACTCTGAAATAGGAAGGCGTGCTGTCACTCTGCAGGCCTTAGAATACAGACTGCACAACAGTGCCCATATTCCTCTGTGGCAGATCCATGGCTGATGAAGGCCATGTGCACGGAAATGACATGACACCTCCTCACAGAACCTTCAACACATTGTCCTCCAGTGCAGAGTATGAAGAGGAAAAAAGCAGAGCTTCAGATATCACATTACCAAACTGCACATCCACCAGAGCTCGGTGACAAACAACTGCACCAAAACCAACATAATCCCAAACACCTGCCAGGAATCAGTGCTACAGCCCTGCAGAACATACAAATAAACCAAGCATTTTAATCCCTCCCCATCTTGAGCTGTGACTGTTTCAACAGTTCCCTAATCCTAGTATTAATGTGATATGTGACAATAGAAGAATCAGACACGAAGTTAAATCTTGATTAGAACAGTCATTCAGTGTGACATGGCACTCAGTGAACCTAAAGAGCAGAATCAAAGCATAACATGAGCTATATAACACTCTAGATTGGAGTCCTCATCCTACAGGAATCTTTACTCTTCAGGGGAGCAAAACAAGGCCTTTGACCTCTTTTCTTCTGATGCCTAACCCTGACCGCAGCCTTCACCTAGGATTTCACAACACACCCATCACACAGAAGAGCTCAAAAACTAACACTGCACTCTGCTAATTCCACTGTAGACCCACGAGCCTTCTAGACCCTAACAGCAAACATAACCTGTAATCCCTCCATTCCCAAGTAAATATCCTATACAAACAGGATCGGCACACCTGTGCAAAATACCATGCTAAATATATCCCATATTGTATATAACAACTATTGTAGCACTGCAATTAACTGAAAGTTGACAGAGTCTGTTAAGAATAGTTTGGCTTCTGTCTTGGGTTGGTTTTTTGCTTATTTTTAAAAAATATTAAAAGCTAACTTTACAGTGGAATCAGAGGCATACTGAGCAGGGATGAATGCTGACAACACAAGGAAATATTGGACTATAGAAAGCTAGCTTTTATTTCAGGATATTTCTTTGGTAAGGCCACTGATGGAACATCTAGGTGAGAAGAGTCAGCACAAGGCAGAAGATCTTCTGAATGTTGATATGAATAACTGCAAAGGCTATTTACAGTCTGCTAGTCCACACACAAGAAAGTGAGATGTTGTGGATGATTATAGCACTTGGGTTTTTTTGGCCCTTTTCTGGGTTTTGATTTTGGCCTCGCTAGTAAGTCACATTTCCTTACCTGCCAGTGCAGCTCTTTAGCACATGGAAAGCAAACCTCACTTCCTCTGACAGCCAGACCCTAAGACATCTACTCTCAACCTTATGCCCAACACAGACTGTAAGTTTTGATGCAGTCTATCAGGGTGTCTCCTTGTCTGTCACTGCTACTTCAACAAGGTGGTAAGACCCTGTCAGTATCAATTAATAACAACTTCCAAAGCTGAACTCTGCCTGCCTTTAACCCAAGATGCTCCATTTTGTGCACTGCAGTTTCTAACCCTGGCCAGGGCATGCAGTGCAAGCACACTCCGCAGGATCCAGCTTTCAGAGGACAATTCACAGCGACATTTATAACAGGCACTTCTTACTGCAACAAAAAATGTGTATCACTGTAAAACAACATAAGGCTTTCTGTCTAAAACCATCTTCATCTGGTATTTGCCAGAGATTGTACAGCAAAAGAATCTGTTGACATTAGGATTGGGAAACAACCAAATAAAAGCTTCAGAACTGGACCACCTCTCATCTTAAAGCAGATTTCTGTTCAGTGACACAAGTCAGGCAATGATATCACAGTTGGGCAAATGACAGGATTCATGTTCAATTGTCTGCAGCAATCTTTATTTTCTTACCAGTGATCTATCATTATTTCAGTCTCTTACTCCTCCTAATGGAATGTCAGTCAACAATTTACTCCCAAAGCATTACGGGCCTACTCCAATTCCTCCTGACAGTACTGGAGCTGGAATAGATCCATAACACAGGCATAGGTGAGCCAGATGACACTGGAAATTTAACTTCACACCATTAAACACCTAGTATCTCACAAGATGAGAAATTTCTCCACTGCTAGAAGAACTGGACCAACTGGAAGCCTAAAATGCTTAGAGGACTGAGTTTTGTCCCCACTGAAGCACAAGTTCTCAGACAATGAACTTAGGGCAACACTTCCAAGTTCTACTTCCCGCAAGAACTGGTGTCTGCTTCACATACATAACAAACTTCTGATAGATGGGGATAGTTTTTTCCACAGCTGGGAATGTTTCACTTGGATGTGTTTATCTTTCCTCAATCTCTGTCTGACTCATAGGTATCTTCATTTATTTTTGTTTTCTCCACTCTCAGAAACCAAGAGGGTTTCTATAACCAACTGTACCATAACCAGGTAAACTGTCTATGACCCT